CGCCGTTGTCGTCAAAGTGGGAAACCTTCGCTACGACATCGGGTTCTTGAGATACGAGGTGTCGGCCGCCTATGAGTTGCCGCCACTAGTGATCGGCTGTTTCGTAGCGGCCGGCGCTGTGCTAATGTTGTTGAGTCTGATCGTATTGGCCATCTTCAAGCACAAGAGCACACAAGCGGAACGGGAGTACAAACGGATCCAATTACAGATGGATACTCTCGAGAACAGTGTCCGATCGGAGTGTAAACAGGCTTTCGCTGAATTGCAAACGGATATGACTGACTTAAACAACGACTTGCAGACCACTGGCATACCTACCCTCGACCACAGAGCCTACATTATCAAAGTCTTCTTTCCGGGATTACCAGATAATGGGAGTCCTATTTCGCTGGACTATAAAGTAAGCATTTCATTGGTTTTCTTGTGATAACACAATATTGATATCCCTGAGAGGAATGGGATACAGTTTAGCGTTAATTATATTTATGATAAACTTATTGATTGGTGTTGTCTGTCGTTCGCAGCTCTCCAACGGTCATCCATACAATAGCGAGGAATCGATGGCACACTTCGAGCAACTCATATACAACCGCTCCTTCCTGTTAGTGTTCATCGAAACACTTGAATACCAGAAATCATTTACAATTCGTGATAAGTAAGCTAAGATTTCAGTCATTTGTCTCACAGCGCAACCATTTCACAGACAGTAATCCCATTCCTCTGAACTTTTATTTTATTGTCTCTCTTTTTACTTCTTCAGAGTTAATGTGGCGTCACTTTTGATGATTATTTTGATGGAGAAAATGGATTACGCCTTCGAGTTAGTCATAAAAGTCATGAATTACCCAAAGATGTGATAATTAATGGCAAACTTTGTTTTTGTTACTTTAGTATACTTCGAGAGCTATTAATAAAACTGATTCAAAAGTACGTGGCCTCAAAGCACCCGCAACTGCTGTTACGGCGCACCGAATCGGTGGTGGAGAAGCTGTTGACAAACTGGATGT